TCCCCCCTGGGTTTCCGATCACTGTCAGTGGCAGGGGGCTTCTTCCTGCTTTCCCTTTCGCCTCCCTGCATTGTTCCTGCATATGCAAATTAACCGCCATCTTGTTGGCAGTTAATTTGCATATAGCCCTGATTAGCCAATGAAAAGGGTAGCGTCGTACGCCAATTACCATTTTTCTCTTTCATTAGTGTAGATTAGAAGACATCATGAACAGTAAAGATTTCTCTAAGGCAGTGATTGGCAAACTCATTAGTCAACTGAGCCAAATATCAACTACAATTGAAATTTCTTTGGAGAGCCAAATTTTTTAATTAAATTCTATAGGTAGGTACATTGTTATTAACTTCATTAGGGTACTCCTAAGGCTTAGGAAGAGCCACACTCAAGGGGCCAAAGAGCCGCAAGCAGCTAGCAAGCAGCAGTTTGCCAACCACTGCTCTAAGGTAAAGCTGAATGCTAAAGGGACTGTTCAGTGGCTGACCAAGGCAAATTTCCAAACAGTGGAAACACAGGGAAATTCAAATTCAGGGTCTAGTACAATTGTGAGACTTCCCTTAGTCTGAAAACAAAGTGAATGGAGCGTTCAGGAGAATGTAAATTAAATCATGGGTGGAGGACAAAGGGGACTTTCTCTTTATGCTGAGAATTCTGGCTCCTGAAAACAATTGTGGCTGAAAGCTCTATAGGAAACTGGGCTTGATGCAGTCAAGATGTGAACTGAGAAATGAGGAAGTGAGCCCGGGAGAGGGTGGCAGGGAGGCCTTTCCAATTTTGTGCCTGAAGTCACCTCTTGCATCAAAAGCGGGTGACCGGAGCCCACCATGAGGCCCCAAGTGTCCCCAAAGCTCATTTGTTCTTTTAACAAAGCTCTTTTGTTTTTCTAAAATGTTCTTTTGAGAGAAGGAGTCGGAGGACATATTTTTATTGTTTAGCATTCCCAACCTTCTGGGATCAATAAGAATTTATAGTTCTTTGTTACTGTTCATTGTCGTACACATGTTCATGGCCTTTTGCAAAATAAACGGAGACAGAATAAAGAACAAAGACAATTGCTCAGGCCATGGACTAATGGCAAGCAGTGCAGGAGAAAAGTTTCCATCAGAAAGGAGGGAGTGGTTTTCTCTTATTATTTTGTATCCTTTTATGAAAGCATCCATTCTCCCAACACTCCAGCAAAGTCTATTGGAAATACTTTAGTGAGTTTATGGGGCTTGGGGGGAGCACTTAGGCCCGGCAGGAGATGCAAGGAGGAAAAGTTGTTCCACAGATGGAGGCCTGACCCTAATTGAGGGTGGAATAAAGGATCACCACACTGTGGTTAGAGGATAGCCTCAAGGTATGTATGCTCAGAGAGAACCAGCTCATGATCTTTAGGCCCTCTCCTGGCCAGACATTCCTTAAGATGAAAATTCAATCAGGTTGTGCCTGGCTTGAAAAACCCTTCAATGGCTTGCCATTGTCCCTATAATAAGATCCAGACATTTACTGCAGCTGGCAGGTTCTTGAATGATATGATTCTCGTTTTCATTTTTGGTGTCATCACTTCTTTTCCTCCAGCACTGTCCTCTGGCTTTGTTGGCTGTCACTCACCTTCTCAAACACATCAAGGTCTTTCCAGGTTCTAAGCCAGTGGTTCTCAACCTTCTGGCCCTTTAAATACAGTTCCTCATGGTGTGATCCAACCATAAAATTATTTTCGTTGCTACTTCATAACTGTAATGTTGCTACTGTGATGAATTGTCATGTAAATATCTGATCTGCAGGATGGTTTTAGGTGACCCCTGTGAAAGGGTCGTTCGACCGCCAAAGGGGTCGCGACCCACAGGTTGAGAACCTCTGAATAAGCCTATGCTCACATTAGCTCCCTCTGCTTGCAATGTCTACACCAACATTCTTCTCATGACAAACTCTAGGACTCAGCTTAAATGTCACTCTCTCAGACGGACTTACTTTCTGACTATTCTACCTAATGTAGATCACTCACTTATGCTTAGCCCTTTGTTTATATTTTTCTTACAGCAACTTGCAGTTACTTTACTTGGATATCTGTACTTGGTGTATGTGTGCTTGTGTTCATCTTATCTGATTATAATATGAACTTTCTGAGGCACAGAGACCTTGATAGCCCAGTTCACTGCCCTGTTCCCAGCACCTAGCACTTGGTTCAGTGCATATCATAGTTCCTGAATGGAATAACAAACTTCTAGAATTATTATTAGGGGTTTGAGTTTGGAGGTGGTGGAATTATTTCCAGATGAGAGTAGTCGAAGACATCTCCATATGACATACTCCGTGTTGGGCACTGTGCCTTATTGGTTGGCCTACAACGGTGGGTCCCTAGTGCATGGTCTTCAGGCTTCTCTTTTCCTCCTCATACTCTTCTCTGAACGAAGGCAAAGGATCTAGTTAGGGAGTTGCTATTGCACCACACCCTATAATTCTGTGCTTGGCACTTTCACCGGCTAATAGTTTTTTTATTTATATGTTTTTCTATCTATAATAATAAAAGCATAATATGCTAATTAGACCAGATGTCCTTCCAGACAAAGCTGGGCCTGCGAGGGAAGCCTGGGTCCCAGGTGCCTGCCTGCAGCCAGAGGGAAACCTGGGTCCTGGGTGTCAGAGGGAAGCTGGTGCCGGCAGCCAGGGGAAGGAAGGCCTACTCTTGCACGAATTTCATGCATCGGGCCTCTAGTGTATAAATATTATGGCTCTTCTCACCATAATGTAAAATGTTTTCTGCTTTAGCCTTATCACTTTTCATAGTGCCTGGCTGATAGTGGGGTGTTAATAAATATTTGTTAAATGGCTACATTTTATCCAGCCCTCATTGCTCTGTCTGTCAGCTGAAGGCTTAGTTCTCTATATTAATTCCTCAAGCTTGGACCTTTCACCTAAGCTAGAGACCTGGAAATACAAATACCTCCAGGATATCTCTCACTTGGATGTCCCTTAGGTATTCAAACATAACGTTTCCCTCATTTTCTTCGCCCATAAAGTTGCAGCTGAGGACCCTATCTCGGTAGAGTCCACCATACTTCTCCCCAGGACCTGGGCCAGGGTTTGCCTTGTCTCTCCCCTCACTCCTATGTTGGCATCTCCCAACCTCTGTAAATTGCACTTCTTAAACTACTTCTCTCCATCCCCAGCTTCACTGATTCAGTTCAGCTTTTCATCACTGTTCACTTCCCATGGTCGGCAAACTGTGGCTCGCAAGCCACATGCGGCTCTTTGGCCCCTTGAGTGTGGTTCTTCCTAAGCCTTAGGAGTACCCTAATGAAATTAATAACAATGTACCTACCTGTATAGTTTAAATTTAAAAAGTTTGGCTCTCAAAAGACATTTCAACTGTTGTGCTGTTGATATTTGGCTCTGTTGACTAATGAGTTTGCCCACCGCTGACTTAGACTTTCTTGAGAGCTTTGTAACTGATTTTCTTTTCTTAACTCTCATATTCCAAAGTTTTGCTAGAGTGACCTTCCTAAAATCTCATCATGTTGTTCCTCTGCTCGACACCCCCCATCAGTGCCTTGTTGTCTTTAGGGCAAATCCAACCCTTTCAGTATTTCATGTGAATTTGGTCATAACTAGACCTTTGCCTATACCTTCCTCCTTATTTCCATCTCACTAGAAGAGTGTTTTTGTAGAAGTCAACAATTCAGTGAATATTTACGTTGGGCCAAA